CACGAATGGTAGATATGTGTGTATGTGTGCTTCTTTTGTTTAGCGCTTTTTTTGTTTGTAGAGGTTTGGTTTATATGAAAATCCGATTGATTAAGTTGTGCGTAGCAAGATGATAGTTTCAAAAAAGTGTCATTCTTCTAATGTGTGATCCGATGGGACGACAAAAGTTACACCAAATTCAATTCCAGTATCAGTATTCATCATTTTCAGATCCCTACTAGCTAAAGTAGTTTTCTGCTGTCGTTTCTCTTAATGGTTTGAAGTTTTGGAGAGCATTGCTATGATTTCCATGTTGCTTGATGCTTATATTCTTCAGGAATCGTAACCAAAAGCTCCAAAACCTTGTATTTTGGTTATTGATAGGGTATTCATTTTTCTCTTTCTTTTATATATCTTTTTATTAGATTTATCAGCCAAAAAGTGTGTGCCATGCAACGCTAAGGATCTGCGCCCCATGACCGAACAAAGTGCCCAAGACCTACTTCAAAAGGTATAAAATTTGCACTTCTTATTATGGTAGGTGCGGTCTGTAGTATGTTTCCGTCCTGATTTTTTCCTTCAACACAGGTTACTGGATGGGATATGGCTAACGACAATGGTACATTAAAGCTGCATCGTTCGTGGATAGTGAAAAGTTTTACAAAAGGACTAGATTTCTTCAAACGTGTAGCTGATATCGCTGAATCAGAAGGTAATTTGTATATCATCAGCAATTCAGCACACATGCTTTGTGACACTTCTGAAAAAGATTGGAAAAAAAAGAAAGAGAGAGAACTCGGGGAAAGATCGGTTACTATTGTCTCTGAAGCAAGGATATGTTTAATGCAGGTCATCACCCAGATTTGCATCTGGTCGGCTGGAATAATGTGAAAATCGAGATATGGACACATGCAATAGGTGAGAATCATGGTCTGTGTTGTTGATATGAAGATATGTTATCATTATCTTTGCCCTCATCATGTACCTTTTCTGTGAGCTTTTTAAGTCGCAAGTGACAAATAAGGGATATCTGATTCTACTGCAACAGGTGGTTTGACGGAAAATGACTTCATTCTTGCTGCTAAGATCAACGAACTCCAAGTGGAAGATCTTCTGAGGAAGAAGAAAGTAGCCAAGTGAAATGGCATAAACATGAATTCTGCAAGCTAAGTGTGGCACAGAGTCCGCCATTAATAAGCATCTTGAGCTTATAACTGGCATGTGTTGGTCTACAAACTCTAAAGCATGTCAAACAAACTTTAGATCTGTGTAAGATGAGAACAAAATGAGCTAGAGACAGATGTTTCTTCTGCTATGGTTCTTGTAAAGCTGTTTCTGGTCTTACAATCTCAAAACCAACAAATAAGGCACACTGGCTTTAGTTTGGAACAAGCATCTTTATTCCAGAATAGTTTATAATTTCAGATATATAATGTATGTTTATTTACAACCACAAACTATACAAACCCATAAAACTATTTACATTCAAGAATTTGCATGAATCTATACAAGATTTTGTCATTCTTCCAAAGAGATAAAGCCAAATCAACAAATTAAATCTTCAGATTAAGGAGAAATTGTTAGAGACCGAACAGTTTCACTGCACACCAACAAGAAATTTCCAGGTCAACTTCTTTTCCATTCATTAAGTCAGAATTACAAATAACCCTCCAACTGTGTTAAAATCACCTCCCCATCTTTTGAAACAGATCACCAAGGGCACGGTAGAGCGGAGCAGCAGCGGGTGGTCTAGGCAAAGAGCCAAGGAGGATGTCAGACGCAGATAGGGACTGGCTTCCGTAGAACCGTGAGTTCTCACTTGTCCGTGTTGTGAAGATGCTTCCTTCAAGCGAGCATCCAACAAATGCGCCTGTTCAGTTAGTGGCGGTTATGCAAGGTCAGGAGCATATACAGATTTGGTATGAATCTTAGTTTCAACAACAAATTTCTAATCAGAATATTAGAATGGTTACAGCTTTATAGTGGACAATGAAAACTAGTTTTAGACATGGAAGCAAAGAAGCCTAAGAATCTATCAAGAAAGTAATACACTAAAAAATATTTTGGGCTTGAGACACATGTACCTTTGCTACAACTGTAGGTATAGCAAGCGGCATAACCACCGCTACCTGCTCGGATATCTGCTTCAACTGCTCGTCCAGTCACACCAACCGCAGCGCTTAAACCAGCTCCAACAACAAGATGGGTCTTACTCCCAAATGTTTGGATGGCCTCACGAGTTCTTAGAACGATAATAAAGTCTATGAACTCTCCTCCTGCCTGCAGGTGAGTGATGAGAAAATAGACCACACACTGTTTCAATATCTAAGAAGCATGAAAGAAAAATATACTATACCTGAGCACCCCATCCCATACCAAATGAAGAGATGGCGGAAGGTGGAGACCATGAGCCATCATCTCTCCGAGCAACCACAAGTCCAGTCCCGATTTTATATGTAACCATAACTCCGACTCTGGCAACAGTAATTACTGCAAGACCTTTTGCTTGTCTTAGAATGGCATCTGGGATGGATCTCTCAGTTCTCGAAGAACCAACCTGATGAGAAATTTTCAAACATATAACATGCTTTTAGAATTCCGAATCGGCTATTAACACAGTGATACAGTTTAACATTTAAGAAATGCTTATAACTTCACAAATTAGAGAATTTGAGAATGAACTAAGAAGCCACAAATCTCACCTTGGTTATATAACCCCGAATCGTGTTTGTTGCCTTATAAATCTCATACTCCATGGATTGTCCCCATGGAAAATTGACCCAAGACCTCAACGTGCTAAGATCTGTCAAGTCATGAGTTGGCAACTGAGCAGCAGGACTCACTTGGTCCATCAAATAAGGCTGCACAGACTCCAACCTCACACAACAAACATCACAAACTCTTTGGGGATCTGAAACGCGAAACTTTGCCGGAAGCAAGCTTCTTCCTTTAGAACAATCCCTACAGAATATCCCCCCACAGTATCGACAATGATGTCGCGAACACATGATCGGGTGAAATCTCGCATTACATAGCATACACGAGGAAGAAGCGCTATCAGGAAGCCACTTGGGTGGCTCAGTCTCAAGAATCTCTCTCGAGTTACCAAAGTTAGCCTCGGTAAGAGTCTGAGCCATCTCTTGCCAAGCTTGTTCAAGTAAATGTCCCGAGAAAAACGAAATCCCACATCTCTCGAGATTACCCGAAGAAAGAGCATTCGCTTTACCACGTGCTGCAAGTAACATATCAACAATCACATCCCACATTGTTAACTCCTTGTCTTCATCAACAAACTGATTCCATCCCATATCTCCCTCGGGAAAGTACCCGCCGTTGAAACTAAGCCCTCTTGACCATTCCTCATGATCAGGCTCTAACATAGGTGGGACTGAAACAGGTATCCAAACACCGGTTTCTTCAGAAAGCGGCGTATCGTAGAAAAAGTATTTACCACCACGCTTTTGTTGATCTGGTTCAAGTCTTTTGCTTTCTTCTACAAAACCATCACATAATCTAGAATCTTCTTCTCTATTCTCTATTGTGCTTCGACTTACGACATTACTAGCATCAGAATCACCATGAGAACTCGAGATTTCTCGAACTCTTTCATCCTATGATCACCATTAAAAAAACCAATTCGAGCTTAAATTTTAGACCTTTTAAACTTAACAATGAAAAAAAAAACCAAAATTTAAAACACCAAACACAAGTGAGAGATTTCTATGAGCTAATAATCGTAATAGAAAAAAACTAGACGATGATGTCTAGTAACAAGAATTCGCTAAAATCACGAATTTTTTTTTAATAAAAGTTTAAACCCTAGAAATTTGTATGATCAAAAGGAAAAATTCTGAGTGGAAACAAAATCAGTAAGCGTTAAATCTCACCATATCTTTTTGTAGATTTGTTCTTTGTCTCGATTGCGAAACCAATCTTCGATTTTCTTACAATTTCAGTTTTTTTGGGGAAAATCAGAAACACGACTTTGCAAAGAAGAAGACGATAAACACCGTCGGTAACCTTTCTGAGACGCGACCACATAAATACATGATTATGATATACACTACTATCCTTCCCAAATTTGTATTTTAGTCCTCAGATTTCTAAACTCTTTATATATTTGACACCAAACTTTCGTTAATATACATTTACCCCCACAATTATGTCTTGTGAGCTGATCTTGAGAGATTGAGCATTTGATAGCTCAAAGAAGTTGCATGAAGGTTAAGCAGAACCAAGTAAATAGACTTGAGAGATAAGCAACGCTCTCAGATTCAGGTTCAGTTCGCGCTCGGTCTCAAGCCCGTATGGTTTAGAAACGGATGGATTATTGCGATGAATAAGAAGTGTTCTAAGCTTAACTTAATGCTGAAACTCTTAACCATTACAGCTCAGGAATTATATGAATGCATATGTAGCTACGGAAACAAAGCAGAAGAAGTTACATAAATTTATGTATACCACCATTTATCAGTCTCTCTAACAAGAATATAGATCAAATCTTTGGCTTTAAAATCCCTACTTCTTGTTTTACAAAAAACAACACATTGTTGCTTGGTGCTCAATAACACAATTCTTCGGCAAGAATCTTGTCTTCCAAATCTTCAACAACAGTACAAGCTCGAGGAAAGAGCCCTGCAAAAATCAGACGTGAAACCAGAAACAAACACACAATGTTTGAGTTCCTTGTGACTGAACTCGAACAAGAAATGTTTCTTAAAAACAGAGTACATGGGCTAAACTTTCTCTTACATTGAGACATTGCAGAAACCAATCTTTCAAACTTCAAACCATATAAGCCAATATAACTAGAGCAAATATATTGATTTGGAATAGTAGTAGCACAATTTCTTTGATTGATTGTTTTTACTTCTAACAACATAGAAATCTTGCACTCTTATCTAATAGAAACCAGAAGATCAAAGTTAAACATAAGCTTCACTATT